CTGGGCACACGCCCCGGCCCTGTCGCTTACCCTGTGGAACCTCTTCTTCCAGCACTCTTCATGGAAAACGCAAGGAAAGGAAGCATAGTGTCACGAGCCAACAGTATCGGCTCCACCAGTGCCTCTTCTGTCCCCAATACAGGTAGGCCCGTGGGTCTTTCTGCTCACTGTGGTGCTCAGCATGTAGCAGGGCTTCCAGCTCTTGCCCCTGTGCTAAGGGTGCAAACATGGCTGCCTCTCTTGCCAGCTTGGTAGGATTCCCACCCCTAGAAGGGAGGGAAGGCGGTGGGAAACTGCATCCGGTTTCCAGCATTGTTTGGAGTAGGGGATTTAGTCAGGTTTTGACGCCTTCCCAAGGGAGCTGCAGGCATCTTCCTCCTGCCCAGCTTCTCAAGGAGAGGGTTGGCAGTGCTCCTCAGGGCGTTTGTCCTTGTCCTGACCTGCTGGAGCTGACTGCCGCCCCGGGGCTGTCCTGGGCCTGGCCGCAGCCCATAGGGCCCAGCTGGTGCCTCAAAAGCTGTCACCCCCTCCACACGCCTCTGCCCCCCGTACTTCAGGAGCAAAGTGGTCAGGCTTCTTCACACGAGTTCTCTTCACGCAGATGATGAGGACAGCGATTACCACCAGGAGCCCTACAAGGAGTCGTACAAGGACCGGCGCAGGCGGGCACACACCCAGGCAGAGCAGAAGAGGCGAGATGCCATCAAGGTAACCCGAGAGGCTGTATGTGCTGTCAGAGCGCAGCAACTCTGGTTTCTGGGGCCTTGCGGCACCCAGCATCCTGCTGTGTTCAGCACCTTCCCTCTTTGTTTTGCTGCTGGATCTGCCCTTCCCAGACACAAGTGTGCTGTGAGCCACCTTGGCTCTGGCTGGCTGCATGGGGGGAGCTGGGATTTGACACCTTTTGAAACAACCATTCTCATGCTGCTGAGCTCCAAACACCTGAGCTGTGGCTCTGCTTCCCCACAGAAAGGCTATGATGACTTGCAGGCCATCGTTCCCACCTGTGAACAGCAGGATTTCTCCATAGGCTCCCAGAAGCTGAGCAAGGCCATTGTCCTCCAGAAAAGTGAGTCTTGAGGGTGGGGAGAGTGAAGGAGGTGGCTATCAAACCCCAGAATGCCTCGCCAGACCCATGCAGGGCAGTGGTTCGGCACTTGGGAACCTTCTGGTGTGATGATGCTCTGGGGGAGCCCAGGTGCTGGTCACCGCCACGCACCTCCTTGAGGAGAATCAGGGCAGCTGGGAGCTGATGCTGCCCAGGCACAGGCACCCCAGGGCATCATCTTTCACCTTCTATGGAGATCTCTTGGACTTGTGTGTGCTCTCGAGTCCTCACTCTGTGTTTTCTTGCTTAGCCATTGACTACATCCAGTTCCTGCACAAGGAAAAGAAGAAGCAAGAGGAGGAAGTTTCCACCCTCAGGAAGGAAGTGATGGCCTTGAAGATCATGAAAGTGTAAGAGAAGAGCTGTTGGTTGCTGCCCTCTTCTTCCTGATGTTTTCCCCCCGGTCCTTTCAAGGCTCTGTGGGTGCACTCAGTGCTTCGCAGACAGCCTGGCACCTGGAGTACCAAGCCTGTCCTTGCCTGCTGTCATCGTTTCTTCTCCTGTGGCTCATTAGTGTGGGTCTGTCTTGGGTCAGTTGGTGGAGTTTAGTATGAAGGTGGATCTGAAACAGAAAATTAATCTGCTGCTGGTGTCAGGAGAGGCTGCAGCTTCCCAGTGTTTATTTACTTCCAGGATCTTCTGCAAACTCTTGGTCCTCCCCATCCCTGCAGCGGTTCTTAATGGCCAGTGGCAGGCAGCGAGCTCTGGGAGGGAGGCCTCACTCTGCTGCTGAACATGGGGCGCTTGGTTTGTTTCAGGAACTACGAGCAGATTGTGAAAGCTCATCAGGACAACCCGAATGAGGGGAAGGACCAGGTCTCTGACAAGCTGAAGTTCAATGTTTTCCAAGGCATTATGGATTCCCTGTTCCAGTCCTTTAACGCCTCCATCTCAGTAACCAGTTTTCAGGAGCTCTCAGCTTGCGTCTTCAGCTGGATTGAGGAGCACTGCAAGCCCCAGGTAAGCGGGAGCCGCAGGTGGGCTGTTGCAATGGCAGAGGGAAACGGGGCAGAGACCACTGTGCACATCTGTACCCAGTGCAGGACTGCGTGCGGCTGTCCCCTCTGCTGGGGCCTCCGAAAGGGCAGTGTGTGACCGGTGCTGGAGTGGGGCAGGACAGGGGCCTAGTGGGGACAGGAGGCAGTGCCTGTGTTCCCACAGCATATGCCCCAGGCTCTTGTGGGAGTCACTCACCAGGGACGGGCCATTTTTCCACTGGAACAACTGACATGTCTCCTCTCTGCCCCAGACACTGCGAGATATTGTGATCGGGGTCCTGCACCAACTGAAGACTCAGCTCTACTGAGCCTTTCCGCTGCAGCGACAGTGATTCTGGGGCTGCTGCCACTTCCACACACGCAGGAACAGGGCATCTCCTGCCCAGAGGCCTGGGTGATGGGTGCCAGGAAGGGCTGGGCTGTCTCCCTCATGGCTGTTCTTAAAGCTTCTCCGAATTATTTATTGTATTAACTATGAAACCAAAACGAGGCTGTGCAGACACCTCTGCTCCACAGAAACTGTCACAGTCAATATTACCAAATACTTGTAGGGACTTAGCAAAGGTGGGGAAAAAAGTGTGTATTGAGTAGGGGTCTTTCAAGGTGCCAGAGTCTTTAGCTCAGGCAGGTGCGGTGGGGTTTGCTTGTGCTACCGACTCTGTGCTGCAGAGCAGATCCTGTAACCTCAGGCCTCCGCTACACCCCCTTCTGCTCCGAGGGGAGAGGGGAGTGAAATAAGAATGCAAGAGAAAAAGCTGTTGGTTTCTGTTAAAACAGACTAGGAATAGGACTCTCCTGTAACTGTGGGCTTTCTTGTACCTCCCTCTGAAGCAGCTCTTATGGGGAAATTTTTTAAAATTGTGTAGCTGCTTTGGGGAAGCTCGGCAGAGCTGGCTGAGGGATCAGCCCATCCATCACTGCCAGGGAGACGCTTACTCGGCGCAGCAGCAACCTCCCCGGTGCAGAGCCAGCAACATGCGCCGGGGCCTTGCAAAAACCTGACCTCTTCTGTAGCTGTAGTTCCCCTGAAAGGGAAATGGGAGTGAGCTTTCTGTGCAGGCTTTTCCTGCTCACGCAGGTGAGTCCTGAAACATGTCTGGCTTTGGGTTTTGATGTGGCCGTACTGAACAGGAAAGTAGTTCAGTAGCTCTAGCACAGCGCTGCCACAAGCTCTTGCTGCTCCTCCTTAGAACTTTTATGTACATACACACATATACATAAGCGGTCTTTATTTGATTTTTATCTTTGTTTTTATAAATCACTTAAATCATCCTGAAGTATTATCAGTGTCAGCTTTGCAGACAGATGCTCTCTGGGACACTTTTTAACCTGTGAGACGCTGCTGCTGTCAGTATGGGTCATGGCTCTGGCCAACGCAAATATTTTGTGGTGGAGCATAGCAATGGTTGTTCACCACACTGAGTGGTTGGACTGGGGCTCCTCCACTGTGGTGACGCTGCTAGCAGGATTTGTTCTCTGTAATTGTGTTTGTGCTCCTACTCCAGGGAGAGCAGATATTTATTTTACACTGTTTTTCCACTGTTGGTGAGGTAGCACTCAGCTCTAGGTTACATGGTTTGAACGCTGCAGTATGAGAATGTTTAGGCTACTGCTTCTACCCACATTTAGTAGCAGAAAACCCATTTGGGGGGTTGATTTTGATACAGAATTATTCTTCAAACTCTGCATTTGTTGTGTTCTTTACAATACAATGGAAGCTCCAGAGTCAAACCCTGCAGTGATGCACATCACCTGTAAAGCACGCACAGGGTCAGCTGTGTCTTGCCTGGAAGAGGTTGCTGTGTGATTAAGAATATCCTCTCTTGGGTGGGAGCGGGTTAGGGCTCTGCAGCTGAACAAGGCGCACAGATGCTCTGCCAGAAGCAGCCTCCTGCGTTGGGAGGAGGATGTGGAGTTTCCCAGACCTCACATGCAAAAACAACATATTTTTCTATTGTGAAAAGTAATTAAATAAATTTTGCTGAATGTTTTAATGATTTTTCTGCTTTTATTTCTGTTGGTGAATTCCTGGAGCCTGCCCCTAGAGCTGGTTAGAGATGGGCATGTAGTTTCTGGAAGCTCAGCCCAGCTGTTGTGGCTCAGGTTACCCTTTCCGGGCTCTTCTTTCCCCACCCTTCACGAATGCTGTGACCCAGAGCCCAAGCCCTGCCCTGACACCCTTTGAACAGAGAAAAACGCCACAGCAAAGCACAGCTGAACCAACAGCCTGGTGTTTAATGAGTCAGATTCTCATGTACCACTCAATCACACTGCAGGAAGCAGATGAAATACATGTAGAGCCCTGCAGCAGTAATGGTCACTAGTTTGTTTATTTGCCTCGCTAAGGCAATTGCTTCCTTTTCTTACTGGAACACCAGGGTCTCTACAACAGTGTACTTACACCTCCCCACACAGAGCCCTGTGAGGACACCCCACCTCGACAGCTCCCTGCACTGAAGGGCAGGAAGAGGTAACATTCGCTGCGCAAGTGAGACACTGAGAGGGCCCAGTGCTGAGTTACTCCAACCACCCTTCCAGCTGCAAAGCATTTTAAAACAAACACATATAAATATGCAGGACAAGCTCAAGCCCTGCAAAAAGAGAAAAAAACAACCCAACAGATGAGTTTCAGTATCGGCTCCTTCTCCCTGGAGCAGAGACTCCCTCCGTGCCTCACACAACTGCTGGCAGCGTGACATTATGGTCCTCGTCTGTCTCTATCCCAACCTCCTCCTGTACAAGCACAGAGCGTCTCAGCAGGGCGGCTGCACCAGCCTGGCAGTGCAGGCAGAGCTGCCACCACCACCCTGGGTGGAGCCTGGCCTCTGTACTTACAAAGAATTGCTTCTTGCTTTTGGGGTACCCCTCCAGGATGGCTTCTAGCAGCTCAGTTGCCTGGTGAGACAGAGTTGCCATGAGGGCTCTTGGGCACTGTCCCCCACAGGGGTGGCACGAGCCAGTGCAGCTCAGGTGACAGTGTGGGAGAAGCTCTCTCTAAATGCACGGAAAGTCCCATTTGTTTCCCAAGGATAGACAGAGCGCTGCAGGGACTTGCATATTTGGGCACCGCAGCAACACAGCCTTTTCCCAGGGGATCACCCTGGTACCCACACATCTTCTCCAAAGTTGCGCAGCCCCACCAGTGGCACCAAGCACAGCCCTCCCTGCTCCACAGCTACAGCGTTCCCCTGAGGTTGCCTTGCTTGGCACTGCAGCAGCAGCAGGCGCTCAGCTCAAACAGGGGCTGCTCCCCAAGCTGCCCAGCAGACCCAACAACATCCCTGTTAGGGTGTCGGTGTCACCGTAGGACTGTTACCACCACCTCCCCAGTGCTGCCCACCCACCCTGCTCAATGGCATGACCGTTACCATTCGCTTCCTCCTCCGCCACTCCTTGCAGTACAGCTTCTGCTCACTACAGACCTGTGAACAAGACAAAGTGAGAACCAACCAGGCAGCAGCCACCCCACGAAGTCACCATAAAGCCTGAGGCGGGAAGCTACAGCCAGAGGCTTACTGAACAGCACAAGTGGCTCACGAAGCCCTTGCAGGGATGTGAACCTCTCTGTGAAACGGATCACCCGTGATAGGTGACTGCCCAAAGCAAAGGCTTGCAAGGACGCCTCAAGAATCATTACCATCGCACACACAGCCAAGGCTCACGCACAGCTCCCGAGGCTCTGCAGGGCAGCCCAGGTCCCACACAACCCCCTGCCTCTCCTGTACCAGTGTCAGTCAGACTGGGGACCGGGTAACCTGGCAGAGGGTCTGGTATGACTGGCCCAGCACCATGGCCCAGGCTCTGCTGCTGGTGCTCAGCTTAGCCCCAGGCAGCTCTTTACCTTCTCTTTTTCTTCCGGAGTGACATGGTTGGTGGCAGACTTAATCCTCTCCAGTTTCTCCGTGTAACTCGCGCAGTTGTTCCTCAACTCCTCAATCTCCCTGGCTATCTCAGGAGTTGTCATGGAGTTGTTCAGGTCCTTCAACTCTGGAAGGGAGACGCGAATCACCAGCAGGGCTGACAGACCAATGGCCAGGGTGCAGCTGCTCATGCCCACGGGACCCCCAGCTGCTCCTGGTGCCATGTGGGCTAGCCAGGCAGGCACGGCACACTCCCCCGCCTCCATTTGCCGGCAGCTCTGCTGCAGTGCCTGCACCTTTGTTGAGAGCACGGCAATCTCCCCATCCAGGCCGCGGAGCTCTGCATCACTGGCGGCCGGGAGCTTCTCCTGTGGCGAGGTGGCGGGTCAGCGGGGGCAGGTGCCAGCAACAGCGGCGCCCGGGGCTGGGGCTCACCTGGTCGGCGAAGTAGATCTTCTGCTTCCCGTAGGCCTTCTCGCGGATGCGGCCCTGCTGCGCCAGCTGCTCCAGTGCCTTCACCACGGCCTGCGGGACGGGCGCTGTCAGCCGGGCCCCGCGCCCC